CTGGGGGGTGCTGGGAGTCACCTCACTGGGGGGTCCCAGCACGGTTGATTATAAAAACCTAACACAATAAACAGTTTATTCAGAAGTGACACGAGTTCCCAACAAGGAGATAATAGGTCCATAGACCAGTCACAAATAAAATAAAATAATATAAAATAAAAATAAAGATTAAATTACATTAATACTCATTAAAATTTGGGAGACTTATTCATAAGTCCTATTTCGGACACTTATGCTATGTTAAGTCCTGTGTAATTTTTTATAGAGTTTCAAGTCCTATTTAGATAGGAATGTATTCCACAAGATCCTATGAGTTGTAAATAAATGGTATTAATATACTATTATACACTATAATGGCAAAACCATATATAGGAAATTGAATGTTATCATAGATCATATCTATATGAATGTGAATTTCAAAATACACGAACAAGAAACATTTTCACATTCAATTTACGTTTATGTAGGTGTCACGTTACGTTAATGTAAGTGTCACGTTACGTTTATGTAGGTGTCACGTCACGTGTCGCAAACTTAATCTATGGTAACATTCAATTTCCTATATATGGTTTTACCATTATTTATGATATTAACAACTAATATTGAAGATAAATGTGTCAACAAACTTCACACAGGACTTATGGGAACATAAGTTTTTTAGTAGGATCATATGTAGCATAAGTGTAACGCCCTCAAAATAATACAAAAAAACCCATCTCTTTAGACATGCATTGATACAAAGAAACCAATCATCTTTCCATTAATCTGAATAGTTCTTACAAAAGTATTACATATTAACAACAAAAGCAAATGCCCTATGGGCTTACAGCTTTCCAAGTTAACACTTGGTTACAAAAAAGAGTTCTAACTCAATACATATTAAGCCTTTGGCTTGAATTTACATGTAATACATCAAAAGAAAGCAAATAACAAAGCGGTCTGTCTGCCTCTAGCCTCCCAAGCTATGTCCTTGGAGGTGGCATGCTACCTGTACCTGAAAATGATGTCCCATAAAGGGTGAGCCACAGCCCAGTAGAAATACACTAAACCAGCCATGAACAATGACTAAAAGATTAGCAGTTGATAGATGGCCAACACAGATACATCCACATATATCACATTTCGATTTCATGACATTAAGTCCATGCTATATTTCATTTCTCATACTCTTTCCAACTTTGAGTTTGAAAACAAGGCTCAACACCTAGCCAAATAACTTAATGAGATTTAGACTCATCTTTAAAACACTTTCAAAATTCATGAGGGATACACATTTTAATGCTGTATCAATAACACTTAAACCATTCTCACACTTTGCGAAAGATACATATTTCGGTGCTGTATCAACATAACATAGAATCACTTCTATACTTTACAATTGATAACGATATACATTTTAGTGCTATATCAAATCAATTCAAACACTTCCATAATCAACACTTGATACACATTGTAGTGCTGTATCAATGTCACACAAAATCCGATTTAGAGGTCCATCCCCTATCTTTCCCAAAACCGTGGAGTACATCCCCTATCTCTTCCCACACAACACATGTATATAAACATAGATCATATACAATCAATTAATACATAGAATTAATGTATTATTTCGGTTGCTATATTCAATAGCATACTCAATCGATTAGTTTTAGTTTGCCTAATCATCATGCAGTGTCTACAACAATCAAGACTATCTTCCACCGATAGTCCAAAGCAGTTATTTCTATACTGAAAATAAATGCACCAAATGGATATATAATCAACATTTTAACTAGGTGAGCGATGAACGAATCGAACTACACCCTTTAATCCCATACACATCCAATTCCAACATTCTTAATTTAATTCTTCTTTCCTTCAAATTAATTATCCCAATTAATTTATCAATGTAATTAGAGCATTTCCCATAATTAACATCACAACCCTAAGGTTCCATTTTTACCAATAAACCAATATTGATCTCATTTCTCTATTCCAAACATGCATATAAGTTTATATAAACAAAACCCCAACTTTTGTAAAATTACACAAAGGCCCAAACTTTCTCAAAATTACCCAACAACCCCCAACTCATCAAAATGCTAAAATTCAAAGACAAAACTCATGAGAAGGAGTAGGATATCCCTACCTCGAAGTTAGAGCTCAAACGGGGAAGTTGAAGAAAACCAAAATGCTCCAAACTCAAAGATTCACGGATCAAAATGGAGCCCTCGACGATCCACACACATTTTACAAAGGCCAGAGGATAGTGAGACACTCTAACTAGATTAAACCCTAGAGAGAAGGGAGTTTCTAGAGAGAGGAGCTCTCAAAATAACTTTTTAGAAAGTAAGAGAGAGAGAGAGAATTTAAAAAGTGATTTTAAAATGCCCAGCTGTCGACTGATATACGACATTCCCGCTCGAGCGGAGAACACAATGCTCGAGCGTCAAGAACAAAAAACTAGGTACGCTCGAGCGCAAGAAGGCCCGCTTGAGCGCCAATACACAAGAATAAAATACATCCGCTCGAGCGCGAAAACTAGTCCGCTCGAGCGTAGATTTTCCTATCCCAGAACTTACACCAAAAAGTACTACCCGCTCGAGCGTAAAGAAACCCGCTCGAGCGTAAAAATCATACCTGTAGAAGTTTTGCAGGGACACGAAAAACTGGGAGTGTACAATCTCCGCTCGAGCGCAACAAGGCCCGCTCGAGCGGAACGACCAAAAACCTGGCAATAAGATTTCAGATCAAGGTTCAACCCACCTGTTCGAAACATGCCCAACATATCCTAGAACTCAAACAAATGGAATTAAAGGATGACAACAAGATAGATACAACTACCAACTCCACGGAACCGAGTCCAGAATACAACAGAACAGTAAAAGGACAACCGGGATTGCTATAATAAGTCTCCCTAATAGGACTTATAAATAATTTTCCCTTAAAATTTTGAAAAAATAAAATAAAGTCTCATAAAAAATAAGTGCATTTGGTGCAATTTTAATTTTTAGATAATCAACTTATTATTAGCTTAATTATTTTTTTTATAACAATAAATAGAAATTATATACCAAATATTTTGACACAAACCATCTAAATAAAAAGAAAGTTATTAAAAAAAACTATATTAATGTGCAACATTAGAGATCCACATTTTTAGACTTATAAATTCACCCAAAAATGATATGATAAGGGAGTTGGACCCTATTGATTGGATGTGGAATAAATCAAAAGTTAACACATATAATACTACATTATCGTGGGAGTTTTTTTTTTGGATCTTAGACATTTTTCTGTATTAATTTCAAAATACAATTCAAGAACATTTTTTAAACAATTTTTATTAGTTATTTTAATATAAAAATTTCGTTATTATTTTTAGGAGTTGTTTGGAATGATCTAAATAAGTGTACTTTTTGACTTTTTATGAAATATGGGTTGAGTTTGAAGTGATGTGGTAGAGAGGTGATGTGATTTAAATAAAATGATGTGACTTAAATAAGATAGTGACTTTTTGATTTTTTTTGTATAGTTCCGATTCGTAACTCGAAAGTTTGTGGCTCGAGAGTGGCTCGACACCAAAACGACGTCGTTTTGGTGTCTTAATTTTTTTTTATTTTTATTTTTATTTTTTATTTTTTTTTGCGTTTTTCTAAAGATAAAGATGAAGAAGAAGAAGAAAGAGCTGAGTCTACTACGCTGTTGGGTTCATCAACATTTTTTTTTTCCCTTCATCTTCAAATTTTGAACATCATCATCTTCAACATCTTCATCAAATCCAGATCTACTAGAAAGGGGATCACCGACATCAACATCTTCATCTTCATCAAATCCAGATCTACTGGAAAGGGGATCACCGATATCAACATCTTCATCAACAATTTTTTTTTTTTTTTCCTTCATCTTTAATCCAGATCAACATCATCAACATCTTCAACAACAATTTATTTATTTATTTTTTCCTTCATCAACCCAACAGATTTTGAACATCATCATCTTCATCGTCTTCAACATCATCATCATCTTCATCAAATCCAGATCTATTGGAAAGGGGACATCACCAACCGCCATCATCGGCGATCACTGACCACCCCCATCTCTCTTCCGCTTCTCTCCCCTCTCTCTCTCGCCTCCTCTCTTTCTCTTCTTTTCTTCTCCTCCTCTCTTCCTCTTTTCTCCTCTCTCTTTTCTGTCTCTCTATTCGAAAAGCAAGAAAAGGAGGAGAAAAAAAAATAAAAAAATAAATCAAAGCCCAAAACGATGTCGTTTTGGGCTTCGAGCCAAATTCGGGCCACTGAATTTCGTTGCCTTGGAATTGCGCACACATTCTATGTGCGAATCGCTAGTATGTAGAGCATGAAAATTCCGCCCGAGGTGACTTAGGCCTAATCAGGCGGGGAGATCACCCTTACAGAAAATATTAAAAAAAAAATTAAGTGAAAATAGAAAATATGAAAAATAAAAAAATAAATTTTTTTTAAAAGTAAATTTTGAAAATAAAAATCAAACAGAGCGATTCTTTTTCTTAGGCTTGTAGAAATGGATTTGGTAGTTTTGTGCCCTTTGCTGACTTTCTGATGCCTCTTGGTACATTGCATTTGTTGTTGTTTGCCTTTACAACGCGGTATTTGAGCAGAGACGGCACTTTCCAAGTTTGAACTTTCACTGGTGCTTGCTTGACCCGCTTCCAGCATTCACACACTGAAAATGAATTTGTCCACACGGGTTTGATTTAAAACAGTGAGTCCTATATATTAAACTATACTCATCACATCTAAAATTATAAATTATAAATTGTGTTTAAATTATAAATTTAGGTAGAAATTTAAAAGGAAAAAAAATGATAACTAAAAATATGAATGAAATATAGATACTTTTACATATCTTTTCTTTCTTTTTTTTTCTAAATTTTTTATCTGAATTCATAATCTAAATACAACCTCAATATTTTGAAAAAATAAAAAATATATATTTTATTTATATTTCCAAAGTGTGTGAATAAAGTTGACAAAGGGGGCTGAAAGTGGATTTTCTTGTTTGTGCGTCAGAACCTTCCATTGATGACCAAAGCCTACAAGACTGCTACAATCTCCTTTGATTTTATTTTATTTTTATTTTTATTTTTAAAGTAGCATTACTTCAAATTATTATTATTTTTTTTTTCATAGTTTGTATATATAAAAACTTTTTGTTTTCTGGGGAAAAAAAATCAAAAAATCTGGGTTTTGAAATCTGGGTTGAGAGAGAGATTGTGGGTTCGTGGGTCTTTGTTAGATGAAGGGATGCCCTTACCATTTGATTTTGAGGGGAAGGGGGTGTTAGAGTTTGTTACAGACTCATTGTCTTCATCTTCATCTTCATTTTCTTCATTGTCTCCATTTTCAAATCCATTGCTGAATCAGTGGAAGAGCAAAGAAGGTGCTTTTTTGGGTAGTGAACCCACCTCTGTCCTGGATTCAATCGGAAGCCCAAGCCCTCAAACTTCAACTTCAACCCTGTCTTCTTCTTTGCCCGGCGGCGGTGGCGGCGGAGGAGTGGCGGCGGTTTCAGGAAACCCATCTCAAAAATGGCCTCCACCGCAAGAAACCACCAGCTCGAATGTGGGAGTTGAATCAGAGCTCCAGCCAGCTCCGCCACCACCGCAGACCACCACCGCAATTGCAGCCACAGAGGCAGAGAAATGTGCTCTGGGAATGGGGATGGAGGATTGGGAGAGCCAAGAACAATCCATTTTCCGCTGGATCATGGGAGATGTGGAGGACCCATCAATGGGTCTCAACAAGCTGTTGCAATCCGCCGCCGTCAGCGGCGGCGCTCCGGCGTCGGAGTTGGAATTCACCGGTGGTGGCTTTGGTGTTGTAGATCAAGGTTTTGGGTTAGACCCAGTTGGCTCATCTCTTCCAAACCCTCCTATCTTCTCTCCATTATCAAACAATCTCTTACCCATTTCACTCTCTCCAATTGCCTTCAACAACCCACCACAACAATGTCAACAACCACTCGAACCCACCGATTCCAAGCCCCAAATTTTCAATCCACCATTTCTAATCAACCATCACCAATCTCACCATACCCAAAACCCATCATTTTTCTTGCCGGAGCACTACCTTGCTCCACCACCACAGGCCAAAAGGCACCACCATAGTGGCCTTGAACCCCCCAAAGGCCCGTTTTCGAATCACCAGCTTCAATTGCTTCCTCAATATGTTCAACAAAGGCCAACAATATCAATGAAACAGAGAATTGTAGTCGGCGATGAAATGGGGATGAATCAACAGCAACAACAGACTATAATTGATTTCATTTCCGAGGCCGCAGAGCTAATTCAGACGGGGAATTCAATACTCGCGCAAGAGATATTGGCGCGGCTCAATCACCAGCTCTCTCCCATCGGTAAGCCTTTCAATAGGGCTGCTTTTTTCTGTAAAGAGGCTCTGCAATTCATTCTCCATACAAGCAATATGAACCCGGTGCCGCCCAATTCGCCTTTCAATCTCATTCTCAAGATTGGTGCTTACAAGTCATTCTCAGAAATCTCACCTTTCATTCAATTTGCCCATTTTACTTGTAACCAAGCACTCCTTGAAGTTTTAGAAGGGTTTGATCGAATTCATGTTATAGATTTCGACATTGGTTATGGTGGGCAGTGGGCTTCTTTGATGCAGGAGCTTGCTCTGAGAAGTAATGGGGCTCCATCACTGAAAATCACTGCGTTCGCGTCTCCCTCAACCCATGATCAGCTTGAGCTCGGCCTCACTAGAGAGAATTTGATCCATTTTGCCGGTGAAATTAATATGGCGTTCGAATTCGAAATTGTAAACATTGATTCGTTGAGTTCTGCTTCATGGTCACTGCCTTTTCATGTCTCTGACAATGAGGCTGTTGCAGTCAATCTCCCCGTTGGTTCGCTTTCGAATTACCAAATGTCCCTTCCGCTAATCCTTAGCTTCATTAAGCAATTATCCCCAAAAATTGTGGTTTCTGTGGATAGAGGTTGTGACCGGACTGACCTCCCTTTTCCAAATCATGTAATTCAAGCACTCCAGTCTTTATCAATCTTGCTTGAATCTCTTGATGCTGTGAATATCAACCCTGATGCATTGCAAAAGATTGAGAGGTTTTTCCTCCAACCGGGTATTGAAAAAACCCTAATGGGTCGCTATCGTTCCCCAGAGAAGACGCCCCATTGGAGGACATTGTTTCTATCATGTGGATTCTCCCCATTGACATTCAGTAACTTTGCGGAATCACAAGCTGAGTGTGTGGTGAAGAGGACTCCGGTTAGGGGTTTTCATGTCGAGAAGAGACAGTCTTCGCTCGTTCTCTGCTGGCAACGAAAGGACCTCGTCTCAGCTTCAGCTTGGATGTGCTGAGGGGCAGAGCGGCATGATGATTATGTCTGATTCGCCAAATCTGTTCCAGTCAAGAAGGTCTATTCTCTGATCTTTTTGAACCTCCTTGACTGTAATTTCAACTTTGCTAATTGTTGTTGTGGTTTAGGCATTATTGTTTCCAAGTAAAAAAAAAGAACCAGAAGTTTTAGTAACTGGATGGTTTAGCATAGCTCTATTTTCTTTCAATCTCTTATGTTCAATGTGGGTATTATTACTATTATGGTGTTTTGGGTTCTAATTAGTTTTGGGGCTATTTGTTGTACACTTAACAAGAAGGCAAAACCAGAAATGGAAAGAAGAAGAATTTAACCCTTCAATCCATGTCGCTTTGTTGTTTGCTTTGGATAAATTATACTGTTATGCACACCATCTTGTAGTTTGGAGTAGATATTTTCACAGTAATTTTATGTACCAATCATGACCAATAATAACCTTGTGTTGTTGTACAATCTGTTAATTTTCACCATTTATATCAAGAAAACAAAAAGTTGTGAACAAAAACCATATTGATTCTCAAGTCTTTTGGGTTCTTGAATTTACACATTCTGTTTGTTTTGGTAGAAAACATTTTTGTATGTCTAGTTACGTTTTTGAATTAATGTCGTGATGGTTGTATTAGTGGTGGTGGGGTAGTGGAGGCGGAGGGTGGAGGTGGTCGAGGTGATGGTGGTAGTGCCGGTGTAGTGCCATTAGTAAGATTTTAGTTTAGAAAATATTCACCTTTTAAAAGTAGAAAACTTTTTCCTTCCAAATAAGCCTGTATTCTATTGATCATGGAAAAAAAAAAATTTTTGTTACTTTTGTTTTTTGTTATACCAAATGCCAAAAAAAAAAAAAAAATTCTTAAAATATATTTTCCTCCCAGACAAATGAAAAATCAACATGCTTGGCTTTTCCTTGTCTCTGATTTGTGATGGCTTGTATTCTGACTATAATTTTCATCCAGGAGTCATTTGTCCCCGAAATTATTGTGTCCCGTTTTCAATGCAATTCTAATTGTGTTTGGGAATCCCAAAATTTGATAATTTGAGTCAGAGCAATTGAAAGTGTGTTACATAATGAATTTTGGAAATAGAGAAGAGAATCCTGTGCCAAATTTGGTGACACCACTATTATCTTGACCCTTTTAAGATTGTTTTTGTTGACTCTCATATTCTATGATATGATATTCCTTACACCTGAATATTTCAAGAATCCTAAATTTGTCAGTTTCAGAGAGGGCCTTGGGATTCCATTCCAATGGGAGAATCTTAATTTGCAGGCCTCACCCTGTTCCAGCACGGATTAATATTCATATTTCATAGTTCATGGCCAATCGAGCGAGAACCAGACTCGAGATCTTTCAATCTCAAAATTTGTCTCCAAAGCACTCTTAGCTGCGCGATTGGGTGTCTCATGATTTTCGTATTTTAATATTTTCGTTACATTGTTGTGTTAGGAGTACATTGGGTCAACAGGGATTTTGAGAATAGAGAATCGTTGGCCGGGTGACCAATAGTTTTGTTAGGTCTCCCTCATGATCACTTCAGTTAAGCATGTTATTAATGTTCTTGCTAATAGTACACAACTTCAAAATGTCATTAACAATTTGGAAGTTTCTTGTCTACATGATCTTCTTTTCATGCGACTATTGTAGTTTTTTAGTGTTCCTTTAATACTAGTCTGTCATATTGTTAAAACATCTTGTTGAAGTTGTAGAATGTTAAAATGTTAGGTAGTTTTAGCATGTGTATAAGAATAATCATGAATTGGAGAAAAGATTTGTAAAGAGAAAGAAATAAGAAAAGAAAAATCATATCAAATGAAATATATATATATATATATATATTTTATATTTTTTTCCTATTTCTTTTCCTTTGTAAATTTGTAAATTTCCTTTCAAATCTTTTTCTAAATAATATTTTAAAAACCGAACCGATGAGTGAACCGAAAAAAGGATCGGTTGGACGGGTTATCGGTTCAATTGTCAGATTGAACCAGAATCAAACCATGACGTCATAATTATTTTATAATATTTTTATAATTTAAAAATAAATAAATAACATTCATTTAAAATATTTTTATAATTTAAGATATATATTTATCAAATTTTTATGTTTATATATATTTTTATATTAATATTGTTTGTAAAAATATTAATTTTACATGTATTTGAAATAAATTATTTTGAATACAATAAATATAAAATAATAAGGAGCCATGGTGACGTAGTGAAAATTCAAGCTCTTTAGAGCTTGAAGGTTCAACTTCTTGTAGCATCAATTTTCTTATTATTGGACCATATACAACCCGCTCTGGTTTGGATGGTTTAGCTTAAAAAAGCCAATTTTCAAGGTAGTCCGGGTTTGAGGATTGATCTGGACTAAAACCTAAATCGGTCAATGGGTCAACCAATCAACCCGACCGATCCAATTCAATTTTTAAAATATTGATTCCAAACACTGTTGTAAAGTTCGTGTAGTTTTCCATTATTTGTGTCAATATGTTTATAGTCAATAATCATAATTATACGTCTCAACAATCTAATGTCAGCCTAAATTGCTAGTTATTACATTCATCCCTAGTTCTCCACCGTCGGTGGCCATATATTATCATTTGCTAATTATCTATTATGGAGGGTGCATTATACTATGATTTTCATTGTTGTATTTTTGTTGTATTGGTTGTAGTTTTTCATAAATTTATCATGTTATTTAGCATGCCAATACTTGCATTATTATACATTGAATTTGATGCTGTTTTAGTTATTATTATTTTTTTTAAATATTATTTTAACTACTCTCCTAATCAAATCACATGGGGCTTGTACCATTGGACCCCTACATGTTTAGTTTAAGCTCCTCTGTTTCATCTCTCCCTTGGATGTCCTTTTTTTGTTATTTTATTATGCTTTCCCTGAATGCAATCACAATATTAAACCACTGAGGCCATGTTGCATGAGAGAGAGACAGTAAGAGAGAGAGAGTATTATTTAATATTATTTAATATTATTTTTATTTTTATTTTTTTTAAAGAAAAGCCTAATATATGAGCTTTATAGTGCGTGTTTGGAAAGTGAATTTTTTTGTAGGTTTTTTTAATTGTAGGATATTATATATATATATATATATTTTTTTTTTTGTGTTTGGAAAGATAATTGGATTTTTTTGTGGTTAGATGTGATGTTTGTGTGAGAAAAAGTAAAATAATTATAAGATTTGATGTGATATTTTGTTTGGATTTATTTTTTTTAATTTTGTAAAACATTTGTCTTGTAGTGAAAACAAACCAAAAAAAACTCAAAAACCAAGTTTCCAAATATGAACAAAATAATCCTATATTTAGATTATGAATTTATGAGAGAAAAGAAATGACAAAAGAAAAGTTAAAAATAGCCTATTACTTTATACACTTTTTTTATTTATAAATATTTTCGAAAATTTAAGATCTAAATAAAGTTTAATTAAAATGATACACAAACTTGTTTTTTTTCAAAGACAATCTATCTAAAATTGTAATGTAATGGTAATTGCAAATTTTTATATATCCCCTAAAACTTGGAAATTTATTTATGTAATTACTTCCCGTTCAAATTTTTAACCATAAGTGATTAGGCAATCATTTTAAAAAATGAGGTGAAATCTAAATACTTAATTTTTGAAATTAAAAGATGAAAAAAATGAAGTGACATTCAGAAAAAGGTTTACATGTCAAAAGTATAATTTATCCAAAATTTATTGATATTGTATTATCACTCAACTACTTTAATACATTATCACTAATACCATAATAATCGTATCTAACAATCCTATTGTTATGCAGTTCAGGTTGTTATTGCTATACTATAATTATAAGGTAATAATTTAACCGTCTTAAGAATATTATGTTTCATTATTTATATGGTGTTTTCAATTATGACATAATAAAAAATTTTATGAGTGAAACAATACTGACTCACAATTGTTAGATAGTTAAGATTATAAAAAAATTCATTTAAATTTAATATATTTTGCAATTTCACGTTTATTGAAAGCATCATGTAATCCTAGTGTTGACATTCACCCCACCGATTAGACCTACTAAAATAGTGCCTAACTTTGCTAGTGAGTCTGACGAGTTCTTTTTTTTTAACTGGTTGGGCCAAGCCAACCTAGGGCAAAAAATCAGTTTCAAGTTTTGCCCAGTAGGCATGGTATACACCCGACTAACAGACTAACCCGCAGGAGAATGACTTACGCTGTGTTTGGTTGGGGGATTTGGGAAGGGAAATGGAAAGGGAAATGGAAATGAAAGGAAAAGGAGAAAGAATTAATAGAATTCCAAATCCCAACTATGTTTGGTTGTGTTGGTTATAAAATAGAATTGATATCCTAAAAGGTCTCCTATTTCTTTATTTATTTCTCACCCCCTTTCTTTTCCCATATATTTTTTATTATAACCAAACATAAATAGGATTACATTTCTCATTCCTTTTCCAAATCTCACCCCAAAAACCCCAACCAAACACAGCATTAGGCTCTCGTTTGGCATATAATAATTTTACTTTAAAATTTAAAAAATTATAAAAAAAATTAAAAAATTTATAACATATATTAAAAAATTAAAAAAAAAATCACTTTTTACACATCTTTTCATAAAAAATTAAAAAGTCATTCTAAACACACTAATTTTTTTTTATTTCATATTTTAATCAAAAAAACTAAAAAATTACTGAAGTCATTCTAAACATAATCGTTATTCATGCAGGACCGACCCGCCTAGGTATGGGTTTAGGCCAAGCAAAAGCTCGAAAGATTAAGTGTGGCTTAAACAGCTAAATGACAATTCTTAAATATCATTTGATATTTTATAATTTTTCGTCATTATATATAATTATTTTTAAAGTACTCAAACCAAAAAAAAAAAAACTCACCACGTACCACCTGTAGAAGAAGAAATTAATTATTATTTTTTTTTAAATGACGAAACAAATTTTTAATATTGGGGTCCCATCTCTCAATTAAAAGAAAAAGGATATAACCACATGCTAGTGGTCCTGTTGGGCAAGCAACGTCACAGGCCCATTCTTTTTAGAGGCCATTTATTAAATTTGTTTATTTTGTGAAGCAGGTCGATCTCATCACCTCCTATATTAAAATTTGAATAATATCAAATCGAAAAATATTATGGTACACAATCTTTAAACAGTATGTACTATATTTGTCTTATAATTAAAAAAAATGATATAATTTTAATTTTTTGAGTTATAATTAAAAAAAATAAATATCATAATTAAAAAACTCATAAATCATAACTAAAATAATGTCATAACTAAAGAAAAAAATAATAGGACAAATTACATA